CATCTAATGATCTGGTGATCTGATCGTAGAAGGCCGCCAGGTTGGTCTGACAGGACCTGCCACTGATGAACCCGTGTTGGTTGCCCCTAAGCATGCAGTCCCCCGCTGGCCCCCTCCTGGATGTGTGCCAGAATAATTTTCTCAAACAGCTTGCCTAGGATTGAAGTAAGACTAACTGGCCTATAGTTTCCCGGGTCGTCCCTCTTCCCTGTTTTGAAGATGGGAACCATGTTGTCCCACCAAATAAATAAATAAATTATCAGTTGTATCTTTCAAACTTTGGCCCCACACAGTGGGGGCTATTAGTTAACAAAGTTGGTCTTAAGGCCCATGATCTCTGCAAGATACAAACAGACAGAAGCTTCTGGGGCCTAGCCAATGGGTACCTGGGGACGTGACCCCTGGTGCCAGCTGGACTGCTGAAACAGCCCTGAGAGTTCCCTGCACCCTTTACCCACTGCAGCAGTCTGGCAGTGGGGGCTGCTGCCTGGCTGTGACCTGCTGCCACCTGCGACAGCATGTGGCCCCAAGGCTGTGCTCCTGCCAGACCCAGATGGAGACTGCACAGCCAATAGAGGCACTTGCCCCTCTGGGCAAGCTACCAGTAGGCTGTGGCTGCACAGCTGCCTTTGTGCGGCACTACTGCCATATGTGCCCCTACCTAGCCATCTGGGCAGCTATCACCTGGAAGATTTTCCCATGTAGTGGCCTGCTTTGAACTGTTAAAGTATGTCCTCCTGGCCCTAAGTGGCCAGGAAGTCAGTCGCCTTCAGTTGGGTCCCAGGTGCCAGCCCTGAGCGGGCTCCTCTGCCTGGGTCCTGCTATTTGCCTCACTAGCAGGAACTCCGGTGTTCCCCATTTAAAACCTGCAAAATCTCTGAAAAAAAATCCCAAATTCACTCTTTAAAATACCCCAAATCCGTGTTCCTCCACAATTAAAACAAAAGACCACTAGAGATATATATCGGTGCAGTGTGACATGGGGGCCATGTGCTTTAAGGCAGCTCCAGGTTGTCACCAAGGGCTGCGCACTGCTTGCAGGGACCATCGGCTACATGGCCCGGGTCCTGTGTGCACAGAAGTGGCCCAGCTGGATGGCGTAGGGCTCATGCACACAAGACCCGGGCTGGTCCAGCTGGCGGTCCCCATGAGCAGCGTATAACCCCAAGCGACAGCCCAGAGCTGCCCGAAAGCACATGGCCCCACGCTGCGCTGAGCTGGGCTGCAGCAGCGTACCGTACCAGAGGCTGCATAGATACCTGGAGGCTTGGGCCAAGCTGCACTGCCCCCCACCATGCAGGGGGGCTGTGCCATGAGGTTAAGAGTGCGGCTGCTGTTGCTGGTAAGCTGGAACTACCCAACTTGCTTTTAGGAGTTCAAGTAGATAATATAAGACCTGGCCCTATTTGTCCCTACTTAACATATAACCAAAACTCAGAACAAACTTGAATCTTTTTAGTAGTTAGAAAAAAAATCAACTGCTGCAGGAGGTGGAAATAGCAAAATAGTGTAAAAGCTGTGTTTCCTTCTAATATTATTTCCACCCAATGGAAAGAAGGAGTCATCACCAGGGAGGGCTATTCT